ATACTTATATACCAAGGAATACTATGCAGCCATAAAAACAGTGAAACCACGTCCTTTGCAGCAACATGGATACAGCTAAAGTAATGCAGAAACAGAAAAATCAAATAACATGTTCTCACTTGTAAGTGGGAGCTAAACATGGGGTACACATGGACATAAAAAGGAGAACAGTAGACACTTGGAAATACAAGAGTGAAAGGGGTGTGGGGCAAGGGTTGAAAAATACCTATTGGGTTCTATGCTCACTTCCTGGGTGATGGGTTCAATTGTACTCCAAACCCCACCATCATGCAATATGCCTTTCTAACAAACATGCACATATACCCTGGAATCTAAAATAAAAAATGAAAAAAAAAAAAGAAAGAAAGAAAAGAGAGCCCAAGATGCAATGAAATATATTTAATATTCTGTGAATATTCTCAGAGCTTCCTCTTCCCATCACAAATAATAAACATTGATGATCATTGTCTAGATTGATTAATTCATTAGGATTTAAAATAGTGGTAATCTAATTCTGTCATCCTTTCTTCAACTTACTTGCTGGAAAAAGAAAATTCTATACAGAGAAAATTCAATGACTTAACCTAATAAAAGTTTGTTTTTTGCTCAAGCAATATAGTCCAACGAGGCTGCTGCTGATGTCTTTACTATACTGGACTCCTTTAGGCACTAGCTCTGATCACTTTCCTCTTGTGATTCTTTGCTCTTCTGGGTCTTTGGAATCTTCTCTATTAAGTTGGTGAGTGAAAAAAAAGAATGGGGGATCAGATGTGGCAAGATTTTACAAGGCAGGCCTGGAAGTGTTCTTTTTCTACCTATATCCCATTGACTAGAACAGTCATATGGCTGTACCTAACTGCAAGGGAGGCTGGGATGTGTAGTTCAATTGGATGTCCAGGAAGAAAACAGAAATAATTTGGTAAATTATTAAACAGTCTCTGGCCATATGGCCATAAGCTTGATAATATGCAATCATACATTTATAATTTGTGGTAAATGCTATAAAGTAAAATAATATATACAAATGAGAATAATGGGCTGAGAGTGGAGAGCTATAATACTTCAGAAAAGTCCTTTGCAATGAGATAATATTTAAGCTGAGACCTAACAAATGATGACAAGAGTGGTGGGAGAAAGAATGTTCTAGGCATGTATGAAGGTCCTGAGGTAGAAAAGAGCTTAGAGAATCCAAGGACCTGAAAGAAGATCCATGTAGCTGAACCCAGGAAAGAGAGTTATGAGACAAAGCTAGACTGGTTTGTCTCGATCATAGTCCATATCATGTGTTCCATAGTAAGTGGTAGTAGAGAAAAGTGGAAGTGGTCAAAAGTTAATATTTAATCCCAATAGCAGAGGAAGGACATTGTATGATTAGTGATTTTTAGTATTTAATGTTAACAGCAATGGAAAGGCATAATGTGGTTAGTGTTTCTAACAGAATGTTAAAATGGGACTCTTCCTGACTCATTGCAGCTGAGGGCCTAATTACCCCCACATTCCAAAGTGAAGTGAGTCAGATCATCCATGGCAGAATTACAAAAGAGGTGCTGAAACCACTTCTGTGGATCTTCACTCCTCTACCTATCTTAAGGCTATATAGGAACTGAAATGGAAAAGGCTAAGGAGAGCATTGAAAGAGTCTCCAGTGCATTATGTCTTCCCTACAACCCCATGAGAGATTGGTAGGACAGGTATTTGTACCTTACCTCAGGTGTGCTAGTGAGGGATACTCCAAGGAGACCACATGGAAGGTTTGACTTACATCCTCTGGAGTCCATGGGTCGCAGAAATACCTGGTAAACAGCTTACTGGCATCATAGTAAGGTACTGCATTTGGAGAATAAGTGGCATTGGCAGATTGCATTGGCAGCTCCAAGGTATGAAATTGTTGGTGGGAATATATACGTAGGGTCATTTAAAAAGGGATTATGCTTAAGAGGCCTTCTGCCCACACCAGACAACCTTAGCAGAAAGAGTCTGGAGATGTGTCTTCAGATTCAGAAGCTGAAGGTGGGGCTGGAGTGGGTGTGTAAGCATCCCGCTAAGGTTGAGGCTTTGCCTATTTCAATGAGCTCCAATCAGAGAACTTACAGAGGACTATCTAGCCTGCATGAAAAAAAAAAACCCCAAAACCCTGAGAGTAAGAGTCAGCTTTAAATACCTGCCATGGCTAGAGTCTGTCAATGCTAGATTACAGCTGTGTCTGTTACACAAGATCTTTTCTGTTCCTTATCTCTCTTTCCTGGCCCCTCCACTGCTGGCTGGTTGAAGGGGCTGAGACAATGAAGACGAGGAGGCCAGGAGAGAAGAGCCAACCCCACCACAAAGGCCGCAAGCCCAAGCAGGTTTGGGTGGGTGGTGGGGAGGAAGCATTAACCATAATGAAGTTCAGAGTTTCAAACAACACACTGAACTGGGCATTTTTATTACTGAAATGAGACTATTTTTTGACTAGAAGAGAGAATTCCTATTAAGTGAGAGTGCCAAAAAATGTCAAGGGACTTGCCCCAGGCACCAGGAAAGAACCTGTCCTGTAGAGCTGGTTTGGTCAGGCTGTTGGGAAGAAGAGTATAAAGTTGTTTTCTGTTCTCACTTTAAGGTTTCTGGTTCTATATAAAAGTGACTTGTTTTAGTGAAACCCCATCTCTACTAAAAATACAAAAAAATTAGCTGGGCATGGTGGCGCATGCCTATAGTCCCAGCTATTCAGGAGGCTGAGGCAGGAGAATTGCTTGAACCCAGGAGGCGGAGGTTGCAGTGAGCCAAGGTCACGCCACTGTACTCCAGCCTGGCACCTGGCAACAGAGCAAGACTGTCTCAAAAACAAACAAACAAACAAACAAAAACAACTTACTTGTTTTAAACAGTCACTCTGGTTGCTATGTGGAAATCAGACCAGAGGATGGCCCTTGTGAATGCAAAGGGTCGGTGAAGAGGTGATAGCTGGCTCCTCTACTTCCTAGCTGTGTGATGTTGGAAAAGTCAGTTAACTTCTCTGTGCATCAGTTTCTTCATCTTAAAGTGGTGCTAGAATGCTTTCTAGGGCTATTGAGAAGACTAAATCAGCTAATGCATTTAAAGTGCTTAGAGGAGTATCTGACCCATAGCAAGGATTATAAGGTGTTTGCTACTGTTTTTATTTTAAAAATTCTAATTGTAGCAGCCTCAGTGTAAGACAGTGTTGACTTTGATTGTCTTTAACCAGAAAGTGAGAAAAAGCACATGATATATTTTAGAATGATATTCAACAGGGCTTTGTGGGGGATGCTTGGATGTGGAGACTGAGGCAGAGGGAGAGGACAAGAATTGCTCCCAGGGTTCTGGTTTGGACATCTGGATGGAATTGAGATGACTGAGATTGAGGAGGACAAGAATGGTATAAGGCTTAATAGAGATTCCTGGTTACTGATGCTTTAAAAAGTTTGTATTTTATTTTATTTTTTAGAGACAGGGTCTCACTGTTGCCTGGGCTGGAGTGCAGTGATGCAATCATGGTTCACTGCAGCCTCGAGCTCCTGGGCTCAAGTGATCCTGCCACTTCAGCCTCCAGAGTAGCTGGGACTACTGGTGTATGCACCATGTCTGGCTAATTTTTGTATTTTTTAAATTGTAAAGACAGGTTCTCACTATGTTGCCCAGGCTGGTCTTGAACTTCTGTCCTCAAGCCATCCTCCTGCCACGGCCTCCCAAAGGGTTGGAATTACAGGTATGAGCCACTGTGCCTGGCTAAAAGTCTATGTTTTAATAGCACTGAAAGATCTGAGCATCATGGGAATGATTTTTCTGAAATGTAAAGACTCTAAAACAAAGTACTTGTTTTGCTTGGTCACTTTTCTGATCCTTTGTCCCATTCTTTTAGATAATGATGCAGGGGAGTCTAGATAATTATGTAATAATATGGTTTTCCTTTTGAGAACCAAGAATGACCTCAACAGGCAGTCAGTCCTTGCAAATAAACACTGTTAGAAAATAAATAATATTAACAGTTCTAAAACTAAAGTTATTGTCTTTGATAGATGTCTTCTAAAATTGCTGTATGTTTATAAATAAATGTAATAAAAATATATTTATCCATGGGTACTGCAATATAGTGACAGTTGTTTTTTTCAAAAGCACAGACATAAATGCACAGATAAAATATTAGTGCTAATGTTTTAAATACCTTGAATGGCATGTCACCTTACCTTTGCTATTTAAGTTGATCTTTGAATCTGAGGTAACAGCCTGATTCCCATCCTAAACATATGCTGTGGAGATATAGGAACACTGTCCTTTGGTATTAACTTCCTATTTTCTTCCCTACTCCCCTGGGATACAGTGTTGAGAACCAGAATTTATCTTTTGCCTGATGTCTTGCCAAAAGCTGTCTTTATTACCCACTCCTGGCTTGCTAGGGGTTGTGGAAGAGCATTTGTATATGCTAGGGCTGACCAATGAATAAGTGGCTGAGGGCCATTTTTAGTTTCAGTCCTTAAATTTTGTAGAAACTATAAAAGTGACTCAAATAACTCTTTGTAGACTTGCACATCCCCTCATCAGAACTTTCCTTTGAGGCTGGGTCCTTCAGGGTTCTGTGAGTGGGAAGAGCAGGGGGTTCTCTGAGACCCTGGTGTCCATGATTATCCACCAGGGCTGGATCCTCATCTGGCTTAATGACTGCAGTAGTCTTGATGTAGCAAGTATCCTTTTAGGTAAAAATAATAAATCTGCACTTTAGTGACAGATGTTTTTTTGGCATATTACTCTTGCTCTTGGCAAATTCATACAATGGCAAAGCCAATCCACATGATCCAGAAGGGAGAAAATAAGATCAAATGTTAAAATATTATACTAATTCCCTAGCAGCTAGCAGGTGGATGTGAGAGGAGGCCTTGGTTTTCAAATAGTGACTATATCAGATAATAGAGGAAAAATTTGAAATCTGTACAGGTACATGCCAGGGAGTTAAAGTGCCTAAAACCAAATGTTTGATGTTATTATATCTCCTTTTATTTTTATAGCTGTTGTGATCAACTGGTAACACCCACTTTGAAAATTTTCAAGACTAACATCATCTCAGCCGTAAGGTATGGTACCTTGGGGGAATCTACTGGATATTTGTTCATGTACTAGAGTGAACCTAGAGCTACTTATTCCTTTGCTTCTTTTAAAATTTATTTTCTAAAGTCAGCTGATTAGCAAAAAATGAAATATAATTTGTCTTTTAATTTTCATCAAAGTAATATGCATACATAGTAAAAATAAGATAGTGTTGAGGAGTTTATACTGAGAAACAATAGCTGTCTGTCACACTTCCCAGTCCCACTTTCCAGAGGAAAACCCCCTCCCTTTTTTTGATAAAAGAATTACGCTTTTTTGAGACAGGGTTTTACTCTGTTACCTAGGCTGGAGTGCAGTAGTGTGGCCATGGCTCACTATAGCCTTGACCTTCCAAGCTCAATGGATCCTCCCACCTCAGCCTCCTGGGTAGGTGGAACTATGGGTGTGTACTACCATGCTGGGCTAATGTTTTCATTTTTTTGTAGGGACAGGATCTCACTATGTTACCCCGGCTGGTCTTGAACTCCTGGGCTCAAGCAATCCTCCCATGTTGCCTCCCAAAGTGCTGGGATTATAGGCACCAGCCACCACACCCAGCCAATATGACAATTTTTAATCACTGATTTTTATCCCTTTATTCCTTTAATCTGCCTCCTGCAAAGTTACAACGCAAGTACTTTGGTGTATCTCTTTCAAGACTTTGTTTCTATGTATTTTAGTTATTTTCTGTAATAAAAACAAAGATTTAGCTACCATTTCCAAATTTTTGATAGTTATTACAGTTTTATTCTTGGTTGCTTTTATACCTTTAAATAATACACTTAAACCTCTAGTTTTTGTTCTATCAGCCATATATAATGCCTCTTGACTCCCAAGCTATATTTATATATTCATGATTATTTATTGGGTACTTACTATGATGACAGGCACTGTTCTAAGTGCTCAGTGAACAAAACAGAGCTCTCAGATTCATTGGCACTTACATGGTAGTTGGGGGTAGGAGTGTTCAGATACAGAAATTATACGGTAGACATTAATAAATTCAACATAGAAGAAAAGAAATACAGGAGAAGATAGTTCAGGAGTCCAGAAGGTGGGAATAATAATTTTAAATCAGGTGGTCAGATTTAACCTCATTGAGAGATGACATTTGAGCAGACTCAAAGGCAGGAAGGATATTATTCATGTGACCATTTTGGGGAAAAGAGTTCCAGGCAGAGGCAACAGCAAAGGCTCCAAGGAAGGAGTGTACCTGGCACATTCAAGGATTACAGGTAGCTAGCAGGGCTAGAATGGACTGAGCAAAGGGTAGTGTGGTGGAGAATGAGGTCAGAGAGATAACAGGGTGAGATGATATAGGGCCATGTGGATCAAAATAAAGAATTTTTGTTTTTGATTTGGGTACAGTGAGAAACCATTGCAAGGTTTTAAGCAGAGGAGTAACATGGTCTGACTTGTGGTCAGATGGATTTGTATAGCTTCCATGTTGAGAACTGTAAGAAGGCATAGGGGGAGGCAGGGGAGTAGTTGCGTGGCTCTTACAGTCATCAAGACAGAGATGCTAGTAGTGCTGACCAGGAGGTGCTCGTGGCATTGGTGAGAAGAGGTCACATTCTAGAGGTAAACTGATGAGACTATCCCTTTTCTCCTTTCTTCTACCTTCTACCCTCCCACCTACCATAACAGTCTGTCAACTATACCTTTTTTTTTTTTTTTTTTTCGAGACAGGGTCTTGCTCTGTTACCCAGGCTGGAGTGCAGTGGTGTGATCTTGGCCCCCTGCAACCTCCACCTCCGGGGCTCAAGCAGTCCTGCCTCAGCTTCCCAAATAGTCAAAACTACAGGCATGTGCCACCATGCCCAGCTAATTTTTGTAGAGATGAGGTTTTACCATGTTGCCCAGGTTGGTCTTGAACTCCTGAGCTCAAGCAATCCACCTGCCTTGGCCTCCCAAATGTTGGGATTCCAGGCATGAGCCGTCAGGTGTGGCCCAGACTTTTGTTTTTATGTTTTCAGGGTTAATGACAAATTCTTTCTTTATCATAACCCATCTTTCATGTGTTGCTTACAGTTTCATTCTGAGAGTTAAAAAATCAACACAACCCCCCCAATTTGTGTTATGACTATTTAATTAGTATTCATTACATAGATATATAATATGCAAAAACAACATTTCCTTTTTTATAGGTCCAAGACCATCACCTCTGGGCTCTTTGAAGAAGGATATTCTAGAGTCTAAATTAAATAAATTCTCTTTGATAAGTATAGAAATTGCTGAAAATTTTGCCACATTTTAGCTGGCTTCATATTTGTATTTTGACTTTTCTATATAATTCTTGTTTGTTTTTCCTGGAATTTCCAATTATCTTTCTTTTATCTTGCTGAGAGAAGAAATATATATTTTCTTCACCATGTCATTGATATCATCTATTTCCATGGTCACTCTTTATTTTGTGTAAACTACATTTCATTTTTCTTCCTGAAGATAGTATGAATGTTATACTTGGGACCCACTGACTCCCTCTCCTGATTTAGATTGTTTTGAAAACCCCATGCACAACTGTCACCCTGAACTGATTTCTCTTTATACTCCTGGACAAGTTCTACTCTTTCTTGCATTCTATATCTTTCTCTTTGTTGGTTTGCATTTCACTTCTCTGCAATATCTCCAAAAGTATCTTCATCAGAAAACACAGATGGGAGATGAAATTTCTGAGTACTTGAAAATCTAAAAATGTCTTTAGTATGCCTTCACATTGATTTATAGTCAGGTGGAGTAAAACATTCTATATTCAAACATTTTTTCCCCTGGAGTATTACTAATAAGAAGCTTAGGCCAGGTGTAGTGGCTCACACCTGTAATCCCAGCACTTTGGGAGGCTGAGGTGGGAGGATTGCTTTAGCCTAGGAGTTCAAGACCAGCCTGGGCAACATGGCAAAACCCTGTCTCTACAAAAAATACCAAAAATGAGCTGGGTGTGGTAGCTTATGCTTGTAGTCCCGGCTACTTGGGAGGCTGAGGTGGACAAGACTTTTCCTTGGAGGAGCGGGTGGGGGAAAGAAGCAGTAGCTTGATGTATTATTGTTCCTTCGTAGGTGATCTTTTTTCTCTTCCTCTCTAGAGTCTTCTCACGTTCATTGCAATACTATGCACAATAGCCTAGATGTGGGAACAACCTACATGTCCATTGATAGAAAAACGGATTAAGAAACTGTGGTATATACATAAAATGGAATATTATTCAGTCATAAAAGGAAATCCTGTCATTTGTGACAACATGGATGAACCTGGAGGACCTTACACTAAGTGAAATAAGATAGTTGTCCATTTCTATGGCAGAGAGTAGAATGGTGGCTGCCAGGGGCTGAGAGAGGGGGAAATGGAGAGGGCTGTTCAATGGGTATAAAGGTTCAGTTATGCAAGATGACTTAAGTTATAAGAGATCTGCTGTATATCATTGTGTTTACAGTTAATAGTACTGTACTATAAACTTAATTTTTTTTTCAGAAGGTAGGTCTTATGTGTTCTTACCACAGCAAAGAAATTAATTAACTTAAAAAATCTCATTAATATTTAATGTTCCAAAATTTCATCATGTTGTGTCTAGTTGATATTTTTTTCATTCATTTTGCCTGGCACTCATTTATGCCCTTCACTAGGAATAGTTACATCTTTCTTTAACTCTGGACGAGACCATATATATATATAGTTTTTTTTTGCTAGTACAAGTTTTATTCTAGACAACTGCAAGTCATCCAAGGGGATGTTCACAAATTACCCCAGAGCCCACTCCCATCTCCCCAGACAGCAGTGGGCACACATTCAATACTCCTGAGACAAGCATCTGTGTGCTTTTTCTCTACCTTCTCTGGAATAGTCAATCCCAAAATGAATTTGGAAACTATAATCTGAACCACCTCAAGTAAGGATTGGTGTAATAGGAACAAACTAAACCACTGTGTGTGTGTGTGTGTGTGTGTGTGTGTGTGTGTGTGTGTGTAACCACATGCCTACTAAAGGTTTTAAAGCTATTTCATTCCTTGTTATTTTATTTTTTGAACTTCTATTTGCTGGATATAGAATCTTGTGGATTTATTCTTTTTGTTTCATCTTTCTTCTGACATTTTCTCTCTTTTCATCTTTTGTTTTATGTTTTAGGAGAGGTTCTAGGCTGTCTTTCAACCCTTCTGATTTTTTTTTTTTTTTTGAGACAGAGTCTTGGTCTGTTGCCAGGTGCCAGGCTGGAGTGCAGTGGCACGATCTCAGCTTACTACAACCTCCGCCTCCTGGGTTCAAGCAATTCTTCTGCCTCAGCCTCCCGAGTAGCTGGGACCACAGGTGCACGGCACCACGCCCAGCTAATTTTTGTGTTTTTTAGTAGAGATGGGGTTTCAACATGGTCTCGATCTCTTGACCTCTTGATCCACCTGCCTCGGCCTCCCAGAGTGCTGGGATTACAGGCGTGAGCCATCGTGCCCAGCCAACCCTTCTGATTTTTAAAATTTCAGGGATCATATGCTTAATTTCTAAGAACTCTTTCTTCTTTTGGATTTTTATTTTGGTTTGTGTGTTTGAAGTTAGGATACGATGTAGGAGTATCCAGTCATAGTTTCATGGAAGCAGTATCTTTCAAATGTCTCTGAGAACATTAATTAAAAATTTAATTTTTTTTCTATTCCATAGATAACCTGTGTTCTTTTCTCAGGATGAATACTATTTATCTTGGTCTTTCTCTTTTATGCTGCTTGTTTTCTTTCTTGTGATCTTTCTTGTCCACTGTATTTCAGAATGAGCCTTCTAAGTAGCTTTTAGGAGTTTCTTACTGTGATATATATAAGTCTGTTTTCCCATGGGATATCTGCCAGTAGTGGGATCTCTGTGTACATGGGTGGCAGGCCCAGGTTGGGGCAGATAAGTGATTGTGATAATGCTAGTTATACAAATTTCAATGGCTTTACATAATAGATGTTTTTTTCTCGTCTGTATTGTGGTTCAATGCCTGATCAGCAGGTGGCTTCTTGCATATGGTGATTAAGAGACCTAGGCTCTTTCCCCTAGCACTACTTAGCATCTCTTTAGGCCTTCTGCCTCTGGCTGGCAGGAGTAAATAAGAAAGTGCAAAGGTACACCTACTTTGTTAAAAGCCCTGGCCTGGAAGTGATACATATCACTTCTACTTATATCCCATGTAGCTAAATGGCTACATTTGAATGCAAGAGAGTCTGGATAATATAGTGGCTTGAAAGTCACCTCCCAGAAGAAGCATCATAGTAAGGAATGAGGAAGACAAATTTTTGTCACTCAGTTATAGCCATTGCTTTTGAAAACAGACATCCACTGGTCGTGTTCATATTAGGGTTAGAATGCTGGAGCCTTTTAGTTTTGTGAGGGAGGGATGGGGTTACAAAGTGCAAGAGTTGAGAGAGCTTTAATTGGGTCACTGGCATCCATTTTTAGCCTTTCTGATTCTTCTCAACCAGTGTCTAGAGTTCTATTTTGACAGGCTAGGGACTTCATTTTTCTTTTGTAGAGGCAGGATCTCACTATGTTGCCCAGGCTGCATTTTTATCTCATTGTCTGAGCAATGTAACTTTTCTAAACAATTCTAAAATTCGTATGGAACCAAAAAAGAGCCCACATAACAAAAGTATTCTAAGCAAAAAGAACAAAGCCAGAGACATCACATTACCTGACTTCAAACTGTACTACTAGGCTATAGTAACTAAAGCAGCATGGTACTGGTGCAAAAATAGACACATAGATCAATGGAACAGAAAAGACAACCCAGAAATAAAGCTATATAGCTACAACTATCTGATCTTTAACAAAGTTGACAGAAATAAACAGTGGAGAAAGGATTCCCTATTCAATAAATTGGGCTAGGAAAACTGACTAACCACATGCAGAAGAATCAAACTGGACCCCATCTCTCACTATATACAAAAATTAACTCAAGATGGATTAAAGACTTAAAAGTAAGACCTGAAACTTCAAAAATCCAGAAGAAAACTTAGGAAAAGCCTCTTCTGGATATTGGCTTAGGCAAAGAATTTATGACTAAGAACTCAAAAGCAAATAAAATGAAAACAAAAATAGACAAATAATTAAATGAATGAGCTTCTGCACAGCAAAAGAAACAAAAGAATAAACTAAGACAACTTACAGAATGGGAGTGATATGATTTGGCTCTGCGTTTCCACCTAAATCTCATCTCCAATTATAACCCCCATAATCCCCAGGTGTTGAGGGAGAAACCAGGTGGGAGGTGACTGAATCATGAGGGTGATTTCCCCCATGCTGTTCTCATGATCCTGAGTTAGTTCTCATAAGATCTGATGGTTTTATAAGGGCCTCTTTCTTCTTCACTCCACACTTCTCTCTTGTACCGCCCTGTGAAGAAGGACATGTTTGCTTGCCCATCCACCATGATTATAAGTTTTTTTTTTTTTTTTTTTTTTTTGAGACGGAGTTTCGCTCTTGTTACCCAGGCTGGAGTGCAATGGCACAATCTCGGCTCACCGCAACCTCCGCCTCCTGGGTTCAGGCAATTCTCCTGCCTCAGCCTCCTGAGTAGCTGGGATTACAGGCATGTGCCACCATGCCCAGCTAATTTTTTGTATTTTTAGTAGAGATGGGGTTTCACCATGTTGACCAGGATGGTCTCGATCTCTCGACCTCGTGATCCACCCGCCTCGGCCTCCCAAAGTGCTGGGATTACAGGCTTGAGCCACCGCGCCCGGCCGATTATAAGTTTTCTGAGGCCTCCCGAGCCATGTGGAACTGTGAGTCAATGGAACCTGTTTCCTTTATAAATTACCCAGTCTCACCCAGTTCTTTGTAGCAGTGTGAGAACAGACTAATACCGGGAGAAAATATTTACATACTATGCATTCAACAAAGGACTGATATCCAGAATCTATAAGGAACTCAAATGAATCAACAAGAAAAAAACAACCCCATAAAAAAGTGGGCAAAGGACAAGAACAGACATTTCTCAAAATACAAGTAGCAAACAAATGAAACAAATATGAAAAAATGCTCAACATCATTAATTATCAGAGAAATGCAAGGTAAATGACAATGAGAAGCCACGTAACATCAGTCAGAATGGCTATCGTTAAAAAGTAAAAAAATAATAGATGTTGGCAAGGATACAGAGAAAAGGGAATGCTTATATACTATTGATGGGAGTAAAAATTAGTACAGCTCCTGTGGAAAACAGTATAGAGATTTCTCAAAGAGCTAAACATAGGACATTCAACTCAGCAATTACAGGGAATCTACCTAAAGGAAAAGAAATTGTATCAAAAGGACATGCACTTGTATGTTTATCACAGGGCTATTTGCAATAGGGAAGTCATAGATTCAACCCTAAGTGTACATTAATGGTTGATTGGGTGAAGAAAATGTCATATATATATATATGCATATATATCTCATAGAATATAAATATATATGTATATTATAGAATACTATGCAGCCATAAAAATGAATAAAATCATGTCTTCTGCAGCAATGTGGATGGAGCTGGAGGCCATAAGTGAAATAACTCAGAAACAGAAAATCAAATTATGTATGTTCTCGCTTGTAAGTGGGAACTAAACAATGGGAACACATGGACATAAAGATGGAAATAACAGACACTGAGGACTCCAAAAAAGGGGAGAATGGGAGAAGGATGAGGGGTCACAGATTACCTGTTGGGTACAATGTTCACTATTGGTGATGAGTTCATTAGAAACCTAAACCTTACCACTACATAATATATTTATGTGACAAACTGGAACATGTATCCCAAATGTAAAATTTAAAGAAATACGTAGTTCTGTCAGTTCACTTGTTTTTAAAGCGTGTATAGATTTAGCAGCTCAGAATATTAGCTTTCTGTGTGTTCATCAGTGAAAACAGGCAGGTAGAGTCTTCTATCCCATACCTAATAAAAGGCTAGGTGCAAAGGTGAGTTTGAAGGGTATTTGTTTTAGTTACATTCCAGTTATTTTAACTTGTGTGCTTGAAATATGTTGGAATCAATGGCTCACGTTAATTTGGCCCTTCTCATAACTGCCTTGGCTGAGTTGTGTTTTAGCATTATGGCCTCCACTTTTACAAAACAATTGATAAGAAGCAGCCTTATAAAGCTGATTTTACAATTACTTTAGTGATTTTAAAAGGACGTTGTCTACTCCCTTCATCACTCAGCAAGACATTTTTGAATAACTCACAGCAAAACTTGGCTTTTCTGAAGGAGCTGATGTATTCTTTCCTTTCTGATAATGAGAATTGTGCAACAGACTATATTTCCTTTTATCATCTGTATTTTAGCATTCTCTGGTCTTAACTATGTTAAAACTGTGAGAATGTCTCTGAGGTGATGTAAATTCAGATAGAATTCAACTGGCAATTGGCTCCCAATCTTCACCTGGGTGCAATTCTCAAATGAAGACCAGCTAAAGATATTATCTTCTGCAGGGTGAAGAGTCAGAAGTGACTACTTTGTGATTATTTTGGGGGCTTTCTCAACTCAGTGTATGCTACATGTTTTGTAATGATTGGTCCATTTCTTACACATAAATGAAAACAGATAAAACACACATTAACTGTAATTGAGAGGTGGTTTTTTTTTTTTTTTTTTTTTTTTTTTGAGATGAAGTCTAGCTCTGTCGCCCGGGCTGGAATGCAGTGGTGTCATCTCGGCTCACTGCAACCTTCGCCTCCCAGGTTCAAATCTTCTGCCTCAGCCTCCTGAGTAGCTGAGATTACAGACACCCACCACCAGACCCAGCTAATTTTGTATTTTTAGTAGTGAAACAGGGTTTCACTATGTTGGCCAGGCTCGTCATGAACTCTTGACCTCGTGATCCTCCTGCTACCACCTCCCAAAGTGCTGAGATTACAAGTGTGAGCCACTGAGCCTGGCCTATTTTTTTTTTAACTTTGCATTAATGTAGCCATTGATTTTATGTGATTGAACTTTTTGGACTGTACATAAAGTAAGGATTTTACTATATCTTCATTTATTACTGAATCTCTAATTTCATATACACTATTGATAATAAGTAGCATACATTTTATGTTGTGCATATTATAAACTAAGTATTTTTATCGTAAGACACCCCCAAATCCTCATAGAACAAGGCAAGGTATAAACACATAAATATCAAAATAATGTAAAATAAAATTCTCAGCTGAATGTACTTTGGGGTATGTCTATTCTAAATATAACATATTTAGTATCCATATTATATTTCCATAAAGGAATTTTCTTCCCTTTTAAAATTTATTTGAAGACATACTAAATAGCATTACCATACTTGTACTGGGTTGAATAATGTCCCCTCAAATTCATATTAATCTGGAACCTCAGAATGTGAACTTATTTGGAAATAGGGTCTTTGCAGACCAATGAAATAATTCATTAAGATGAGGTCATATTAGGTTAGAGTAGGCCCTAAATCTAAAGGCTGGTATCCTTACAAGAAGGCTATGTAAAGACACAGACGGGGTTCCGGGCAAGATGCTTGAATAGGAACAGCTCCTCCGGTCTGCAGTTCCCAGCAAGACCAATACAGAAGGCGGGCGACTTCTGCATTTCCAACTGAGGTACCTGGTGCAGCTCATTGAGACGGGTTAGACAGTGGGTGCAGCACTGTCTAACTGCTCGTGGTGGGCAAGCAGAAGCAGGGAAGGGCGTCGTCTCACCTGGGAAGTGCAAGGGGTAGGAAACTCCCTCCCCTATTCAATAGAAGCCATGATGGACTGTGCTGTGAGGGATGGTACTATCTGGTCCAGATACTATGCTTTTCCCACAGTTTTTGCAACCCGCAGAATAGGAGATTCCCTCAGGTACCTACACCACCAGGGCCCTGGGTTTCAAGCACAAAACTGGGCAGCTGTTTGAGCAGACACCTAACTAGCTGCAGGAGTTTTTTTTTTTTTTTTTTTTTTTTTTTTTTTTCCATATCCCAGGGGTGTCTGGAACCCCAGTGAGACCGAGCTGTTCACTCCCCTGAAAAGGGGGCTGAAGCCAGGGAGCCAAGTGGTCTAGTTCAACAGATCCCACCCTCACGGAGCACAGCAAGGTAAGATCCACTGACTGGAAATTCTCGCTGCCATCACAGCAGTGTGAAGTCGACCCGGGATGCTGAAGCTTGTGGTGGGGAGAAGGGCATCTGCCGTTACGAGGCTTGAGTAGGCGATTTTCCTCTCACAGTGTAAACAAAGCCACCAGGAAGTTTAGGCTGGGCAGAGCCCACCACAGTGTGGCAAAACCGTTGTAGCCAGATTGCCCCTCTAGATTCGTCCTCTCTGGGCAGGGCATCTCTGAAAGAAAAGCAGCAGGCCCTGGTCATTGGAGAAGTGCAAATCAAAACCACAATGAGATACCATCTCATGCCAGTTAGAATGGCGATAATTAAAAAGTCAGGAAACAACAGATGCTGGAGAGAAAGTGGAGAAATAGGAACGATTTTACACTGTTGGTGGGAGTGTAAATTAGTTCAACCATGTGGAAGACAGTGTGGCAATTCCTCAAGGATCCAGGACCAGAAATACCATTTGACCTAGCAATCCCATTACTGGGTATATATCCAAAGAATTATAAATCATTCTACTATAAAGACATATGCACACGTATGTTTATTGAAGCACTATTTACAATAACGAAGAGTTGGAACCAACCCAAATGCCCATCGATGATAGACTGGATAAAGAAAATGTGGCACATATACACCATGGAATACTATGCAGCCATAAAAAAGAATGAGTTCATGTCCTTTGCAGGGACATGGATGAAGCTGGAAACCATAATTCTCAGCTAACACAGGAACAGAAAACCAAACACTGCATGTTCTCACTCATAAGTGGGAGTTGAACAATGAGAACACATGGGGACAGGGAGAGGAACATCACACCCTGGGGCCTGCTGGGGGGTAGGGAGGAAGGGGAGGGATAGCATTAAGAGAAATACCTAATGCATGTGGGGCTTAACACCTAGATGATGGGTTGATGGGTGCAGCAAACCACCATGGAACATGTAACAAACTTGCACGTTCTGCACATGTATCCCAGAACTTAAAGTATATAAAGACACCGACACACACAGAGAATGCCATGTATGATGAAGATAGAGACTAAAGTGATGCGGCCACAAGCCAAGGCATGCCAAGGATTGCTGGCAACCAGGAAAGAAGCAGGGAACAGATTCTCACTTAACACCTCTGCAAGCAACCAACCCTGCCAACACCTTGATTTTGGTCTTCTGGCTCCCTGAACTGTGAGATATTAAATTCCTATTGTTTTAAGACACCCAGTTTCTAAAATTTGTTGTCAGTACTAGGAAACTAATACAGCATACTAGCCTAACTCAGTGTCTCAAAAATCTCTTTCTCTGTGCACGCATAAATTGAGCACCTAGCATGTGCTCCACAAATAACTGCAAATTCACACCCTTGAAAAGGAAGAGTTAATTGCCTATAATAATATAATGAGAGGCACTTTCACAGTAATTTTAAACAAAATATATTCTGATGAAGAAAATCCACTTTCTCCTTCTGTAGAAAATACACTATGGCTTAAAGTAAAATGCTTTGCTGTAGTTGCATTTTAAAGAGTTTTATCATGTGAATATTATGTATGACATATTACTGTCAAAATAACTGACATAAAGGTTATCAAATTTCATGCCTCAGAAAGATGCTACCCACAGATACAAAGATTTTTATCATTGTTTTGTCAACAGCCATAGTTGTTGCCATGCATCCATCACATTGACTTTCATTGACATGACCATTAACATGGAAAGATACCAATAAGACAAACAGTATTTGTAACACTTATGAGAAAAAGCTGATGCAGTGTATTTCCTTGGTTGGTGAGCCTTCCTGATATTGTAACATGGAGGAAAAAAAATGTTAAAGAATAATAAAACAGGAATAAGTGAAATTTTTTCACCTTGCTTTTGCAAATCACGAATGCATTTTATTTAGAATTTCCTATGTACTTTTACATTCATAGCTAAATATGTCACTGAGTTTGTGGAAAAATATTAATTGAATGAACTGTTTATAGAAAAATGCTTACAACATGGTCTAAAGGCATGTTTAAGCTGTCATTTTGATATTCTATCACCCTCTACTGATCAGTGAGCCAAATTACATTTAGCCTTTTTCCCCACCAAAGTTGGTGTCTTTTCCAAGGCTAAAAAAGTATTTTTTGTCCATTTACTAAATCTATAAAATCTGTTCATAAATAAAAATTCATATTGAAAATAAACAGAAAGTTATCTGTTTATGTTTCTGTTAGATCCTCAATGAAAATTAGACTATTTTATATTTATATCCTTAGCAGCCAACATACTGCATATAGCACTGTGTATATACTCAAAAAATACTGGCTAAACAAAATGTTGAGGCAATTTTCACAATTATTGCGGTCTTCATTTATCATTTTTATAAAGTTCTTTATTTCATAAATATGACTGTGGATTTATAAAAGTTGGTAAAAGACATTTCTAATCTCTTTATTTTATAAATGCTAGTTATTTTGACTTCAATATAATTAACAGTTTCTATTGATAGAGTCATTTTTACTGTGGTTTAACATGGGCATTTTTCTGGTTATCTGTTATTCTGAATAGTTGCACATTATTAACTGGGGCTTTTTGTTGGTTAGAATTACGATCAGCTGCGGGTGGTGGAGAAAACCTGAAATACCATTGGCTTAAGGTCTGATCTGAGTTTATTTCTGTCACACATAAACCTGTGTAGTCCAGGATAACATGAAGTTTCCATAGTCATCAGGATCCTGGCTCCCTCTTATTCAGCTCCATAATGCATAAACTCTGTACACTAAAAGGAATAGATAGGTACAGAGCCTCTAGGAGAGTAGACTCGGATAACTGCCTGACATTGCAGAGTGGAGGCTGCTGGTATAGTCTGACAAAAGGTGCTGATGTATGTAATGGTCCACCAAAGCTACATAAGATCAGTGTGCTCAATTGTGAGCTACTTGATGCACTGCAGATTTCACAAATTGATATCCCAAAAAATTATGATCACAAATTGGCACTCATAGTGCCCAAAAATCTTACTCAGTTTCTCTGGTAACATAGTCTCCCAGTCTCCATTAAAATGACGCTGTACCTTCTTCAGATCTCTTGTCCTCTCATCCTGTCTTTCTGATCCTCTCTCCCTGACATCCTTACATCCTCACTTTTACTACGGTGCTTCATTCTTCACTGAAGACATGGGAGCCGTTTTATTGGCCCTCTTCGTCTTTCTCCCATCATAGGTGCAAACTGTTAACCGAATTTGTACCCGTTTTTCAGCTGTATTGAAAGAAGTGTGCCTAGAGCGGCAGTCAGCCATAGAGGTGAAGTTGCAGGGATTTACTCAAGGCGATGGTTTTGCCAAACGAATAAGAATAAAAGAGGCAACAGAAGTAAAGGGATATGTAATGTATTGGTTAAGATGATGAATAATGGAATCTAAGTGAGAGTAAGGAAAGAAATGAGGACACAATGAGGTGAGGACTGTGACAATATAGAAACATGGATAAGTGATAGGTCCTTTGGAGTTCCTGTTCATACTTTTCGTCTAATCATTACGTCATTTGTCTTTTTCTTATTGATTGATAGAAGTCCTTATATACTCCGAATACTATCTTTTGTTAGTTGTTAGGTTTGTATTTTTATTCTGTGGCTTTTATTTTTCATCGTTTTCTTGATGTATTTTGATGCAGAGATGTTTTCAATTTTACCAAATTTATATTTTATGGTTTATGATTCTTTTTCTTCAAAGACTGGATTGCAAGCTTGAAGATTTATATTTTTAAGTAATAATATCTTTTATTTGTATAGAATTATAAATTACAAACTATTGTTTTGCTTAATCCTTTTAACTATTATTTGAGACAGACAGGCTAGAGGGTATTAGCTCCTATTTTACAGACAAAGAGTACTCATATTTAGTATAAGACAGAGATGGGATGTAAGCCCTGGGTCTCCATACTCACAAGTGCTTTTTTCCCATGACTTTGTGATACATCATTTTAAAGTAATCTGATTTCACCATGTTTAATTACAGTGTAAGAGTAACAGCTGTAGCATCTCTTCCTGGCAGATTACCTCTGGAGCCAACCAACCTAATTAATTACTCATAGACTGACACATTTTAAGGCACTGTTATACCTCTAACTCAATTTCCCAGCTATATTTGAGGGCCCTGTGAGCCAAAATTGCAACAAAACTGACCTGAAAGGACCAGGGAATACATGGTCAAGTATGTTTCCAAGTGTGACCTAGGCCTGGCACATCCTCACCAATTGCTTAGATGGCAAGTGAAGGCAACAAAATGAAGAGAGTAGTGGGAAGGCCCACTTAGGGGTTGACACTGATGAAAAACACAATAGCGTCAGATCCTCTGTTTTCAGGATTAAAATCCCCAGAAGCCAGTTGCTGGTCTGCTATCTACTACTATTGTCAACTACCGGAGACTAGAATATGCAAGGAAATGTTAATTAACCTGCCTTCCTGGGGCCCAAAAAGCCAAACACCGCTAATTTTAATCCATGCCAAACCAAGAAAATGGTTCATTCCTTTTCGATCTGGGTTTTAAGGAGAGTGCTGATCATCAGAGAAACAAGGAGATTCTATCCTGAAGCCAAAGGGAAGATACAGTGGACATTTCCCGGGTGCAGGGGTAACACAATCTGCCACCATGAAGGGAAGAAAGCTATCTTGGTAAGCTTTGGTCTTCCACAGAACATGGAACCAGAGACAAGCAAGACCAGGGCCTGAATGACCAATTCTGATAAGAGCAGGACCTCCTCACAGAAGGTGCATAGGTCCCTGAGGAGAAGGGTCTAAACATCCTAAAATTGCAAGCAAAATTTTGAGTACATACATGTTTTCTGGTGAAGGGGTCCTTCATTCTCAAATCCTGAGCTTTTAGAGGAAAAAACTAAGCTAGCTGTAGGCTAGGATACAAAAGCCAGCAGATATACTTAGAGCCAGCCACATCTGAGGGCTCTCAAAGACGTCTGAGTTGGAACATAGGCTCACAAGAGAGACAACCAACCACTTTTTTTTGGCCCTTTTTCCTAATAGTATTTCAAGTCTTTTCAAAATAAGGCCCTAGGAACTCCCAGATTCAATTATGTCCTTGGGCTTGGTCCACTGCTGCAGGAGTCTTAGGGGGCCTTGTGCAAATGCTTGCCTTATTCATTTGCCAACATTAAACCCCAGGATAGAAGATGTGACAAAGCAGGACTCTTTTCACGGTATGTGGTTATTTCAGAGGAGGTGGGAGCCAATGTAGGAAACACTGGAATGTTTTCCTGCAACTGGACTGTGATGAGAGGTGCCTGCCATGAACATAACTTGCTGTCTTTTCATTGACTCTTCTATTCCAGTTTTTGAAGATAAAGCAGGAAATACTCTTCCCTCAAGATACAATTCCAATTGTTATTTTTGATAACAATTCAAAAAACCAGAAATACATGCTTCCAATGCACCATGTATTCAGGTATTCTGGGTTTAGTTCAGTTGGTGGGTGAGCCGATGGATGCATTCACTCCGAAAGCCAGGTAAGCCCATCTCCTTGAAGAAGCCCACTCTATTCTCAGTAGTGTGATGGGCCACCAGGAGCTGGAAAGGATGCAAGAACCAGGAGATCTCCTGGAAAAACTTCCCTGGGAAGGCAATTTCATGAATGAGGTCTTCTAAGCAAATGACATCAAACTTCTTCAGGTGCTTCTCAATCACTGTGTTGTCTAAGGGAGAGATAGTCTTATTCTTGACCTTGCCTTGTCCATGTTTCAAGATGAGTTCAAGATGGGCTTCAGATTTGAAAATCCCTGGGTCATATAAGATTCCAATATATGCGGCAGTTTTAGGTTCTGGGAGTGACTTACAAAGACACCACAAAAATTTTTCTTTAGGTGAACCATTTTCTTCTTGCAGTGGTTCTCTGCACCAGTAAACTCATGCTATTAATCCTTTGGATATGTACAACAAAGGCCAAGGAATGTATCCGGCAATTCCAAGGCATGAGGTTTCACTTCTAGTCATCTGAGAGGCACCTTGTGTTTCTGCCTCCAGAAACCATGTAGGAACGATTCCTGAGCCCTTTTCTCCCCCGACACCATCTTTTTTTTTTTTTTTTTTTTTTTTTTGGTAAAAGTGAATTCTTTTCCTGAGTGGTTTTGAGGACTTGATAAATCTTCCTCTTTTTCAGTAGACTTTCTGGACCAAAGGGAGTTTTCTTTGCTCTTGCTCTGCCATCTTTCTA